ACAATGTGAATAAATAAGTAAATGAAAGAGAATCATGCTTTATATAAATATATGATTGCGTCACATACAGTGAGACTGTTTTCGTACGAAACGATTTGTTCCATTAGAAGTGTGACGCTCGTTTTGGGGGACCAATATAATTAGCTATAATTCATAGCTTACATAATATGCTCTTGGAGGTTTCGATAGTAATATATTACATCAGATGTTAAAGAACCATGGCTATTGACACTGTTTCGGGCTAACCGTTGAGCATTTCTCATTTGATATCCTCAAACAAATTACCTTTTGAAATTGCAGATCCAATTCATCCAACTGTGCAAAACGTTGCATGATATGCTGATTGCGGAAAAAGAAAATCAACAATTATGTGCATTATTGCCAGAAGTTGGTAAGGGTGCTTTGTTTTTTTTGTACTTTTTCGCTCTTCATTTTTTTTTTATTTTCACTTCGTTTGATGAAACATATTTCTTTTCTTTTATTGCATTATATTCTATGATGTGTATAATGAGATACGCGGGACCTCGCTATACTTTAAATCCTTTTCCTGTCCTATTTCTGGGCCGACCTTTACAGACATCTATTCGTGAAAGCAGAAGCTGTTTCGAAGTTTGCTAAAAAATGGTGTTAGGCACGGTTTGAGGGCAATCAAGCAGTTCTGAATCATTTACAGGCTCGAAGCTCAATGTACTAATTTTATTATCTAGTCACTTATTTTAGTCACTCTGCTTTTCCAACTTGGCGAAACCCAACGTGAATTGCAAGCTACACTAGAAGCTGAATTAGCCGATGCCATGAAGGAGGACGAGGTTTCTGAAGCTCCGACAGCTGAATCAAAGCCAGAAGACGAGGATTTGGAAGTGGCCGAGGACCTTGACACAGCGCAGCGTCGGCGAATTGCTGAAACTCGAACAGGGTAAGGTTTAAGGATTCCTATTATGATTATGATTATCGAATTCCTCGTCTTTTGTATTGGTGTAGCAAATCCCTTTCTGTTACTGCGCTTCTGTCACTTGTTTTTCGAGTTTCTCAATAAGTTATGTTTGATGGTGATTCTTTTTGTGATATTTCAGAATGGGTGAAAACGAGTGGAGGGTCAATTTCGAACAAATCCTTGCCACCGTACTCAGTGAAGCACCCTTGGCCAACTACTTCGAGACGAAATACTCTTTGCAAGGACTCGTTAAAAGGTTAGTTTTCGTAGGAGCCTGTACTTTCAGTCATTACCTGCGACTCATTATTGTCTCTTATTTCTAGTAGTCAAGGTTCTATGCTTATTGAATTTTAGGGTGATTCTTAATATGGCTGCTTCAGGTATCGAAAGAATCGATTTGCTTCGTCGTCCAGAAGCGGCTCCGAGTCGAATGGTTCGCAGTAGTAATCGCTTGCTGAATATTTATTTTGTTTATATTATACTATTGTCTAATCACTTCACTCGGTGATGTTAACAGAAATGAGTGTTGTAGGCCTTGTTTATGTCTCTTACTCTTTCTCTGTACATGTAATATATTTATTGCAAACTCCTATATGCCCTTTACTAACTTTTTTGAGCTTAGCTATACTCGTTTTTTAACTGAGATTTATTCGTAAGCAGGCTTTGGTATTTCTACCATCTCTCTTTTGCAGCATTTGAAGATTAGGTGCATACTGCGCGCGTAAAATCGATACTCCGAAGTGCACATAGCGAGATGTAATGAAATATGCAAGCAAGCTGCAAATATGTATTCTGTGAACTCCTTTCAAGACATTCGATCTGCCTTTTATTCACA